TCAAACTTATAAACCTCATCTAGCTTTCACTTCAGAGCTAGGCCCTGTTGTGAGAAAATACTGAACCTCAGCATCTTCAGAGTTATTGTCGATTGAGAGCGAGAGGGTTTCACTTCACCATTCGCTTGCAATGTTTATCGGCAGTTCGCTATTCTCTCTATCTTACGTCGTACCCTGATCTAGACATGAATCAATGCAATACAGTACTCCTGCTCAACGTTCGCGACATTGGGTAACACAAGTATCTCTTCGCTACTATTTGTTCGAGTAGGTGGAGCGTACTCTTCTCGGTTAGCTTACTACTAGTAATGCACGCACCAGACATGCAAGGAACAAGGGACTAGTTCGGGTGCCTCTGCCTTGGTCTACTGTGAACGAGAAATGCCATAAGATATGGATGTACTCCACCTAGTAAGCTGCACGTAGTAAGACCGACCTCTCTCGTATTCAGTTCTTTAATTGCCAGAGTGGAATTCTTTAGGTCATGTCCACCACAGTGGTCGATACATGGTCCTGTATCCTCCTATCTCTGAAGAGCTATCTGACAGTCTATGTCATGATACTATCAGAGCTACTAGTAGATATCTAACTCATATAGTCAGATCATATACCATGTGCCATGTACGCAATGTGGCCAAAGGAACTTCCAAGCCACTACTAGGGAGGGAGTATTTCATGTTTTGGATCGTCTGTTGAGGCATCAAGCTTGAAACAATTGCAATTACAGATATAGCTAGGTTGTAATACGCAGGTGGTACTTGTTGCATATGATATGGAGTTTTGTTTCACATGATATGTCGTGGTTGGCGATCACTTCTCGTATCGATGCTTTAAGACGGAGCACCGCCGGCGTTGAAATCCTGCGAGCGACTGGTAAATCCCTGCACTTAACCAGACTTTTACGTAGTAGCAGCCTCGTATTAAATGTCGTAAGCCACTATCTAAGGTAAGCTTATCCTTGTGCCAAGTAATATCAATCATGCTTGATGGAAGTACTAGTACGCTTCTCATTCTCAACGTTCGAGCTTATCCTTCTCTAAGCCTCGTTTGGGCAATTAATGGAGCGTCATCAAATTATGAGCAAGTATTAGACCAGCAAGTACCAGCCCAATACTTTCTCAATACTTGAATTGTATGTGAATGCTCACGCCTCATGTATTCCTTGTATTTCACACGTCCCTCAGAAACATATGGGCAGAATCTAGCCGGGTATATTCAGTATCCTGTCTGGGAGTAGTTCTTCCTTGTACCTCAAGCCCGTGCTATGACGTTAGGCATCGATCAAAGCCCCAGGCCGCCATGTCTGCCTCCCATTCCAGGCAACTGCACCTTCCCTTTTCGGCTACCTTGCGCGAACAGATGAACAAATTTGGTCCTAATACTACCGCAGGGGCCCTGATGGCGTAGTGGTACATACTAGTCGTATGTTGACCACTGAACCGTGGCCCTTTGATTCGAGTCCCGGCCTCGACATGTAAAATCCTTCGGGGTTTTCGTAGCCCTCGAGAACGCCCTTGATTTGAGGCGAGAACGAGGGTGAGCTTTTTGTCGTTTTTATATCAGTCAACCTGATTGATCTTAATTACTTTTATTCTCTCTCTCTGTCTGCTGCCTCTTTTCTATTATTCCTCTATCGGTTGTTTTCTTTTTCTTCTTTTTCTGTCAACTTGCTTTCGTGGTCTTCTGATCGTAAGTGCCTAAGGCGCTAAGGCTAGGAATATGGGGAACCTAGACTTGGTCTTAGGAAACAGCAGTGGAGCGTGCAACCTGAACTATCACTTCATTTCTTCCTTCCTATTAGATATCTATGGTATCTATGGACTTTTATACCTTACGTAGTAGTAGCTGCTTTCTTGGACCAACTCCCGATAGCGTTGTCTTCGATTGGATCAAGTACAGATCTCAGAAGCTCCATCGATGCAAATCTTTCGATGCCGATTCTGTGCGGGAGTGCTTCGACGCCCTAGGAGGTATATACACACCCTCATAAATCTCATTCTCTATATTTGTTTATGGCCTAGCAAAATGACAATCTCCTAACACCAATATCTATCATCCGGAGTGGAGACCTCTACCCCATTACTCTATGGGGAATCTATGTCGATCATCGCCTTTTTGTGGGGTATTCGACTCCACATTCAAAATGTGAGTGAATCTGCGATCAAATACCGCGACCGCCGGATTTGAGAAGGTCGTGTTATGCATGTCTGCTTCGATAATCATTCTTTTTCAAATAGAGGATGAACGTAGGTACTATACAACCTTCTCCGGCCAACATATCTTAGACTATCTCGGCTGGCGTTGCTCCGGCCTGACGCTCTCGAGCCGCCTCAAGCACGCCATCCAATCCATGATTCGACCAATCCGCAGCCAACTAGTCTCGTCGGAACACTCAAATCAGAACCAACTCCTGCCTTGGAGCATTGACCTACTCCTATCCTACTATCACAAGTCCCGAGCGGGGAACAGCCAGATCTGCCGATAACTTGCTCTTTGTGGAATAATGCTCCTAGAAATGACCCATGACTGCGTCTTATTGCACCATGGAGGCCATACCATATGCTGTCTTGTTTTTCAAGTGGATGGCTAAATCCTTAGCCTCCCCACAGCCTTGTGCAAACGACACGCGGCAGCGGCAGTTGCGCAAGGGGTGTCAACAAGCTTCTGGCGGCGCTCTCGGTGGCTTTAAATTTCATGACACCTAGCTTGGCTTTTCTTGTTGGTTTCTTGTTCATGAGACTGTCAGAAAGCTTGCGCTGTGGCTCCACTTTCACGAGAAGACGGCTTGTTCAGAGCAGAACCAATATGGGTCGCAAGCTCGGCCTCTTCCGTGCCACATACTTGGCGTCTGCCAGTTGCATGGGGTCTTTTGCGTTTGCATTTGACACAGGTGTTATTAGTATGTTGGAAGCAACTGTACAAATCTTGACCGAATCACAATGTTTGTCTAACTCAACCATGCAGGCGGTGTCCTCACGTTGCCATCCTTTCAGCGAGACTTCCGATATGGCAACTCGCAGCAAACGACGGTCAATTCCAACGCGGTGTCAATTCTTGAGGCGGGGGCATTCTTTGGATGCTTCTTCACAATGCCTATAGCTTCGAAGTTGGGCCGCCGCTCTGGACTCATTCTGAGCTCACTTGTCTTCACCGTAGGGACCATCTTACAGGTTATTAACGCCCATACCTTGGGGACCTTTTACGCTGGTAGAGTGATTGCCGGGCTTGGTATCGGCGCCGCCACTACACTGATACCTATGTATGCAGCAGAAATGGCCCCTAAAGAGATTCGTGGAAGACTCGGGGCCTGTTTCCAATTGTTCTTTGCCACAGGGGTTATGGTTGCCTATTGGGTTACTTACGCCGTTTCAAAGGACCAGCCAGATGCCACGAAGCAATGGCAGATTGCGCTGGGTCTGCAACTGTTGCCTTCCACATTGCTTCTACTTGGTATGTGCACAGTTAAAGAGAGTGCTCGGTGGCTCGCCACAAAGGGAAAGAAAGATAAAGCTTGGGAGTCATTGAAATGGGTTCGTGGAGGTGAAGAAACCGAAGAGCTCCAAAAGGAATTTGATGAAATCCTTGCGGGAATTGAGGAAGAGTCCCGGATCAAGGAGAGTTTCACCATCCGCGAGCTTCTTTTACCAGTGAATCGTTACCGTATCTTCATTGCTTTTACAATTCAGCTATGTGCCCAGTTGACGGGAAACACATCACTCGCTTACTATGCCAATCAGATCTTCGAAGCCGTGGGAGCGGAGGGCGAAGCTAAACTAGTGACAGGCTGTTTTGGCGTGGTCAAGGTAGTCGGAGTGTGTATATTTCAACTATTTGTTCTCGACCGTGTTGGAAGGCGAGTTCCATTCATGGTTGGAGCATTCGCAATGGGTTCGTTCATGCTCATCATTGCATGTGTTCTGGCGACCCATCCTACACAATCGGGCGGGTCCGACTCTGCGCCAACGAAAGCGGGGATCGCCATGATTATCATGACCTATGCGGAGGCGTTTAGTTTCAATATGTCCTGGGGGCCTCTCCCGTGGCTGTATGTTGGTGAGATCTTCTCTAGTCGCACACGAGAAGTGGGAGTAGCCGTCGGTGCTGCGTCGCAGTGGTTGTTCAACTTTATGATGTCGCAGATAACGCCACACGCCATAACGAACATCAAATGGAGAATGTTCCTGATGTTTGCGATTTTCAACTATGCAATCGTCGTGTATTCATGGCTCTTTCTCAAAGAGGTATGTCCTAAAGTATATTTCTTTGTCTTCGTTCATTCTCGCCTAAGGGGGCCATTCCCCAAGCTCTGGGATGTGACTCGGCCGTTTCGAAAGCAGAAAGAGCACCAGCTAATGATCTGTTCTCTATTCAGACATCCAACCACTCGCTGGAAGAAATGCAAGAAGTCTTTGGGGGAGGTGACCCTCCAGAGAAGGCCAATCTCGCGGTAGAAAAGGGAGAAATTGACGCCACGGTGCGACCATGAGTGGGACGCACGTCCACATGACTGCTGGCAGTGCGATTTCAGAATCGGTACTCTTCAGGAGGGACTGGTTAGAGATCAAGTTTTGTTAAATGCTTCAAGGGGGAATCCCAATAATTTGTAGAAGTTGAATCTAACATCTTGACCCCTGTGCCCAAAACCGTTGGAACATGCACGTCGTAAATGAGCAGTCCACACAGGGTGGCTCACTCTGGGTTCCGGTCGACGGGTGTGGAGAAAAGCCCGCATGGGGACCAAGGCTTTTTTCCTTTCCCTTCGCACCTCGGTCACAAATCGGGTCAATCGAAAAACTTCGGGTGACTCGAGCCACCTGGAACAGACTAAGGGTTGCGGAGTTGAACCAATTGGCTCGATCAAGGTTCGGGAATCATATTTAGTGTTCACCCTAACCTAGGGACGCCTGGCCCGATGAGAAAAGGAGCAGGAACCTCCACCAGGAACGGAGACATGGCGACTCCCACATTGGCCAAGATGACCGGTACGAGGCATTTAAACGGTCTAGCCTCACCTGGTCGGGGAAACTTCTCGTCGTCCAGGAATTAGGCTTTGGCTGTCGCACCATATTAACCGGTGGAAATTAATGGACGTACGACAATCCCCGCAATTAGTACGAATACGTCTGGCCTCGTACCACAGGAGTTCCTGGTCGAGGGTCTTCCTACCGACACTAGTCACTGTACTTCCTGCACCCCAGAAACCATATTTCTTCCCACGTTCCAACCCGCACGTGCCCATGCTTACACCATGAATTCTTTTTATAACTATACATCCTCCATTCTTTCCGCGCGCACTGCAAGCTTGACGATCAAATCTCAAACTCACAGCTTGGTCATGGTCGTCGCCCCTCTCAATGTCTGCGTCCGGAGATCGTATCACCCGGCCCACAGATCCTGATGATCTTGTCCTGGAGGCCTGGGGACAGGGCCTGATGGTCGGTTCCTTGGTGGTGATGGCCGCGGTGACCTTTGCGAATATGAAGAGACACATTCTGTTGCATAAACTGATTTTTGCCGAGGTATGCTTTGATCTTGAGGTGATTGACTTGGGATCTCCTAGTGTTTCCACGTTTCCACTGTGTTCTCTGTGCGCGGAGTGCTAACGAGTCGCGGTGCCATCCAGCTTATTCTCGCTATGGCCCATGGCACCTTCATATTCCCCAAAGAACCCGCCTACGGATGGTACCTTTCCTGCAGTGCTATCGGACTGAATGTGTCCTGGACTCTGCATAATGTCATTGCGTGGATGAAGAATAAGCCATTCCTGAGTCGCAGGGTTTCACAAGCTTATATCATCACGGTTCTGCTGGTCCAGCCGTACTGGGTGGTGGAAATCTACGCCAATTTCACCTACTTCAACAATATTAACAAGATCTTCCTCACAACACGGCCAATGGAGCCTCTCTTCCGGTAATCTCACTCTCTTCCCACTTCCATCCATATGATGCTAAACAATTGACAGAGACCCCTGGTGGGTGTTCACCACCTGTTCACTCTTCTACACTATTAAGCGCTTGTACAACTTTGGCATTATAGAATTGGTGACTGTGAGCCCGCGGTTCGGGATTATGCTAGCATCAATGTGCCTTTCCATTGCATTCATAATCATCGATACGTGTGTCGTTCTGAACGCCTTCCCAGCGCATACACTCCCTACCGGAGTTGAACCATTCTGGAAAGTAAGCTCTCTACCTCGGATCATCCTCAGGTGGATAGCTACTAAATGACATCTGAGCAGCTATCATTTATCTTCAAATGTCTCTGCGACACCGTCATCCTCGACGACTTCAAGACAGCGCTTGATCGAATGCGAAACTACTGGCTACAGAAGCGGGCCAGGACTGGCGAAGTCCTTCTTCCGGAGACCCAGTATGAACCTGGCAGTCGCAGACACGAGAGGGATGACATCGAGGCATTTGGTAGCGAGAGACGGGGCAGTGAACTTAGAAAGCCCGATTCGTCGGTTCCGCGAGTTCACACAAGGGAAGATGTGGGTATAGCTCTTTGATCATGCATATGTAATCCTGCATTGTGCGTTTCTGATGATTATGATTGATTCGATGATATCCACCCGTGTTTTTGTTTGTTTCAATTATACTTTGGTTAGGCGAATATCTTGGGGTTTGATGCGCTTAAATTGGTCACTGTTGTCGGTAACAAAGGCTGTTCTACTCATAATGTGCCAAAAATATCATACTATATGATCTGTGATGGGCAATGTAAAAGGTAAACTCTTTGATTCTCTGAAATAGTAATTGATCAGCCTTGGCATAGCCCTATGTGAAGATGCAACACAAAGACCACGCGGTAGTCAAAAAATGTCTCCTCAAATAGCTATCAGAGAAGTCTAGGACCTTTGTATCGTCAACCTTTGTTTTACTTTTTCTTCATTTATTTGCCTTTCGAGACATTTTGACCCGAAACTTCGATATACTGTTTCATATTTCTTTTGTTTCATGTTTGCCAAGCAGGAATCACGATATGCTGGTCTTTTCAGACATGACAGACCGCATGACCGATGCTTTGTTCGACAAAGAACCCTACGCAAATCACGGAGAACGTTTTCAAAGTCTAGCTATAAAAAAGAATTCATATGCTTGGTTAACTCTTCGAATGAATAATATCATAAAATCAATCGGCTTCCTTTTTCCCTCCCATCTCCTTTGAACCTCTGGCCCCCAAAATTTATATTTTGCCACAACGCTTGCCTTGATTGTTCAGAGAACTTTATAGAAACAATGAGGCGGTAAACCATTCAGAATTGCGGGCTGAAATATACTGATTAAGGAAAATGATACAGTGGCTATGAATGGTTCTCCAGACAGTTGCAAGTTGCCTCTGAGACTACTGGTAATAGGATGATGGACTCTAGACTAAGTTCCATACATGTGATATATCATTTGCCCAAGGGCTGGGTCCAGTACATGAGACGTCGACTGATAGACCTGTCCATTGTCTATAGTCCATTGAGAAGCTTGCCATGGGGATGTGGTACTAAGCATCAAGGATGATATTGTTACGATCCATAGTTTGAATGGGGGTGCCATACTCTTTGTCCGACAAGCAGATAGTACCAACATGTGGCCACGTGTAGGCATGTGGTGCGAGTCATTAGACTGCAGCGGTCATGACTTCACTATGACTACAGTTGGGAAACTTGAGATATGGAAAGTACACGCTGTACTCAAGCTACTGTACAATTGGAGGTCGACGAAGTAGGTCCTTTGTCCACGTATCCTGAATGAGCCCTGAGCAGATGGCCGGGGGGCTAAAAAATAGGGCAAAGCAAAAAGGATTACTTAACAGGGGCTTCTAGCCAATGAAACCCGGTTCTAGTATGTTCGGTGGACCGCCTGCAGAAGATCCATGAACACTTTGGGGCGATTTCGCCGGCAGAATAGAGGGCGGTGGCCACGGTGGATGAGTCATCCTGGTCCTGAACGCCGACGCACCAATCACACTGCGAGGAGTAACCTGCAGAGCGATGGCCGTACCAGCCATGCTGTCCTTTTCTCTGGCCTCAAGCATTTTAAAAAAGCTGATCTCTTCCTCTCACGTCCTTCGTTCAGCAACTTCTCTCTTTTGCCTCAACTTCCCCTTCCTCCCCCTTCCATTCTGTCGCCTGTGGTTGGGTTTTCTTTTTATTCTCTTTGCTTCTCTTTCTTGAATACAGGAAACTGTATTGAAGCGCAAGGGATTCACCAAGCACAGTACGAACACGCCACCTGATAATTACGCGCGTGCCCCTTAGCAAAGACCACCACTCGATATACACATAGGCACAATGGCGCGACTTTCGAGTCGCAACGGTGCGGCCAAGCCGTTCACTGCTTGGACCACCATCTTCTACCTTCTCCTTGTTTTCATCGCACCCCTGGCATTCTTTGGTACCGCACACGCTCAGGAGGACTCTGTACAAGACAACTATGGAACTGTAATTGGTATTGATTTGGGTACCACCTACTCGTACGTTCTGCAACAGGGAAACAACGTCGTGCGTTACAATGACTAACTCTTTCAACAGTTGTGTTGGTGTGATGCAGAACGGAAAGGTCGAGATTCTTGTCAACGACCAAGGAAACCGTATCACTCCTTCCTACGTCGCTTTCGCCGATGAGGAACGTCTGGTCGGTGATGCCGCGAAGAACCAATACGCTGCCAACCCTGTCAGGACCATCTTTGATATCAAGTGAGTTTCTCCAGTTAGTTCGTACGCATGAATCGGTGTGCTAATGTTTTCCAGGCGTCTGATCGGTCGCAAGTTTGATGACAAGGACGTCACCAAGGACACCAAGAACTTCCCCTTCAAGGTTGTCAACAAGGATGGCAAGCCTGTCGTGAAGGTTGACGTGAACAAGAGCCCCAAGACCTTCACCCCTGAGGAGGTTTCCGCCATGGTCCTTGGAAAGATGAAGGAGATCGCTGAGGGCTACCTCGGAAAGTCTGTCACCCACGCTGTCGTCACAGTCCCCGCCTACTTCAACGACGCCCAGAGACAGGCTACTAAGGACGCTGGTACCATCGCCGGCCTCAACGTTCTCCGTGTCGTCAACGAACCTACCGCCGCCGCTATCGCCTACGGATTGGATAAGACTGGTGATGAGCGCCAGGTCATCGTCTATGATCTTGGTGGTGGTACCTTCGATGTCTCCCTCCTCTCCATTGACAACGGTGTCTTCGAGGTTTTGGCTACCGCTGGTGACACTCACCTTGGTGGTGAGGACTTTGACCACCGTGTCATGGACTACTTCGTCAAGCAGTACAACAAGAAGAACAACGTTGACATCACCAAGGACCTCAAGTCCATGGGTAAGCTCAAGCGCGAAGTCGAGAAGGCCAAGCGTACTCTGTCTTCCCAGATGTCTACTCGCATTGAAATTGAGTCTTTCCACAACGGAGAGGACTTCTCTGAGACCCTCACCCGTGCTAAGTTCGAAGAGCTGAACATGGATCTGTTCAAGAAGACCCTCAAGCCCGTTGAGCAGGTGCTCAAGGACGCCAAGGTCAAGAAGTCTGAGGTTGACGACATTGTCCTTGTTGGTGGTTCTACCCGTATCCCCAAGGTCCAGGCTCTTCTCGAGGAGTTCTTCGGTGGCAAGAAGGCTAGCAAGGGTATCAACCCTGATGAGGCTGTTGCTTTCGGTGCTGCCGTCCAGGGTGGTGTCCTTTCTGGCGAGGCTGGTACTGAAGATGTCGTTCTGATGGACGTCAACCCTCTTACCCTCGGTATCGAGACCACCGGTGGTGTTATGACCAAGCTCATCCCCCGTAACACCGTTATCCCTACTCGCAAGTCCCAGATCTTCTCCACCGCCGCCGATAACCAGCCTACCGTTCTTATCCAAGTTTGTAAGTTTACTTTCTAATCCGACATGCTATAGCAACCCATACTAACTGATCATAGATGAGGGAGAGCGTTCTTTGACCAAGGACAACAACCTCCTCGGCAAGTTCGAGCTTACCAGCATTCCCCCCGCCCCCCGTGGTGTGCCCCAGATTGAGGTCTCCTTCGATTTGGACGCCAACGGTATCCTGAAGGTCAGCGCCAGCGACAAGGGCACTGGCAAGGCTGAGTCTATCACCATCACCAACGACAAGGGTCGTCTCTCCCAGGAGGAGATCGACCGCATGGTCGCTGAGGCCGAGGAGTTCGCCGAAGAGGACAAGGCCATCAAGGGCAAGATCGAGGCCCGCAACTCTCTGGAGAACTATGCCTTCAGCTTGAAGAACCAGGTCAACGATGAGAACGGCTTGGGTGGCCAGATCGATGAGGACGACAAGCAGTCCATCCTCGACGCCGTCAAGGAGGTCACTGACTGGCTCGAGGACAACGCTGCCGAAGCCACTACCGAGGACTTCGAGGAGCAGAAGGAGCAGCTGTCCAACGTGGCCTACCCCATCACCAGCAAGCTCTATGGCTCTGCTCCGGCTGATGAGGATGATGAGCCTTCTGGGCATGACGAACTGTAAAATTATTTAGAGGGATGTATGGAGTTTTACTTTGCTTTATTGGCTGGTTTGAATCATTTTTTATTAGACCTCGATACATGAGGTGACGGGAATAGCATGATACCTTGAATATTATCTGACTAGCTTCAATCACAACATTCTCCATCCCAAGACGTAAATGTGTCTCCATCAGTACAAACTAGGGTAGATCTCCCGAATGGCATAATTTCTTAAATTACTAGTAGTACTGTCCTAAAAGCAGTCCCGACTGCACTTATGAGGAGGGAATTAAGCAGTGTCTAGCAGAGGGTATAATGGGAAGTGGAGCAAAAACAATAGGCATTAAGCTAAGACTTCGTAAATCCCGATTTCCCTAGTACACACTATATACACACTGAGTCGCTCGTGAACCAGCTATACAACTCTTGACCATCACTGGCTGTCTTGCTTGATAAACTCCCGAATTGTCTCCAAAACAACCTGGTGGTCATCCTCCTGCTTCAATCCACTAACAACCACCACACCAATGACACCATCAACTCCCTTCACCCGCACAGGGAACGCCCCACCATGGATCGCGAAGTCATCCGCTGCCCCTCCACCACCGGTACTCGTCAAGGCATGCTTCGTCACAAACGCCCCCTCCACCTGATCCGCCCCCAAGCCAGTGCTCGTCAGCATCTTATTCCGCATCAGCCAGCTCGACACCCCCCACCGCAGCACGGTGTTGCGCTTCCGTCGCACCCACACCTCGTTATCGGCGAAGGTCCCGGGTTCCGTCGCGGCTTGGAATACAACATGTGGCTCGGACCCGCCGGTTAGCGCGATAGAGATGAGAGCCGGCTTGCGTTGATCCGCCGGGAGGGAAAGAATCCTGGACCGGAGCGCGAGACCAAGAGCCCAGGCTGTTTCAGAAGTGAATGAGGGGAAGATTACTGCGGCGGAGGACTCTTGAGCAGTAAGTTCGCGGAGCTGCGATGCTTGCGTTAGTCTTTGTTCATAGTAGATTTTGTCTAGAGTGAAGCGGAGTGGGGAATTGAAGGGGAAAGTTACATCTTTGCTCGCGGGTGCGACGGGCCTGTCTTCCATTTTAGGGGGTGTAGTTTGTTCAATTACAAATCTGGTCGAGTATATTTGAGAGTTGAATTTCAGTGATTGAGAAAATTTGCAAGACCATTATATTTTATATAGTTACTCTGGGTGGGGATGCCATCATAATCGATTTAAATCTCATGACGTCGGTTCCGTAGGAGATTTAGACGTCGTGCTGGATGGACCTTCCCAATGGTTGGGTGGATTCTGTACCAGACCGCCTTTGGTTAGCGGGTAGGCTATGTCTGTTTCTGGATTGGGTTGACGAGGATGAAATAGTCCTGAGATTTAGATCCTGTTGACTTGCAGAAGGCTTGCGATACTTCGGGATATGCGACATATGTTAGAGCAATATGTGTGAGCAGAGAACTGCAGTGACAGCCTATACACATGCGACAGTCCTTACCAATTCTAGCCGCCAAGTCTTCACGAGGCGATGTGCCCACTCTTGTCTCTCTGGGTCATCACTTGGCTCGGCCAGATGAGGAATAGTCTGCTGAAAAGCCCGGTCTTCCAATGAAGGTCCACGGACATCCCGTGTCGATTGGTATGCCGAGTTGGTCGGTATCAATGGATAGAGACGTCGCATTCCGAAATTAAGAACCGAGACATTAGTATTAGGCCCAACTGATCAAGGCAAGCCGAAACTCTGCCGTGGATCCGCGTCTTCCGGCGGAAGGGGAACGAATACCGGTTCTATAGCCAATCACTCCGCCGGTACTATATTTCGACCGCTTCTTCGTCCGGTATATGAGTCCCCGGTCCCGCGACGCCCAAAGAGGGCGACCGCGGAAGGCTTGCGATTCTTGTTGTTCGCGTAAGGTGAGCAAGTGTTATCGGTGCCCGTAACAGTTCACTTAAAGGTATGGTGGAGGTGCTGATTTGATCGTAGATTAAATGCGTTGAGAAGAGCAACGCCGCCAAATGCGAGTGGTGTCTACACCAAGGGCTAGAATGCACATATACAAGCATAGATCGTCGACGGAAACGAACGGCAGATGCTTTATCTGAGTAGAGCAACCCATCATACTGTTCTACAATATTGCTGCCTCCAACACGACTAATATAACGCTGGTAGCTCTGAATATACACATAAAAACACGCGTGCCAAGATTCCTGACGACTATGTCTCAGTATTTGATAGTGGTCGTCGATCAGAGACGAGTGAGTAGAGATTAAGCTTCTAGTTGTCGTCTATAGCAACAGCTAATGCTATGAACAGATAGAAGCACCTCTTGTGATGGTCATGCGAGCCATCCCCTGCCTCAGAATCAAGCGGTTGAAGGTCATGAGCTTGGCCATTATGCCGGGGGCCTGAACGCTCAAGACAATAATAGCGCATTCTTTCGATATTATGGAATCCCGGTTTTCTCCACAATGGGACAAAGGTGGATTCAGTCTCACCGCGGGACCTCTGGTATTCTTCAGACGCTTTTGTCATTTGGCCTCCCCTGGGCGAGTTTTCCTAATCAGTCAACCTCAGAGGGAGCAGGCCTCAAGTCAGACGGAAACTCCGTCGAACTACCCGATAGGTTCATCAGTGAAGCATGCATTGCATTCTGCAAGTGTGGTAAAATTGGCCTGATCTACCCTATTGCCGATATGTCCCTCTTAGAAGATTCAGTGAAGACCGCATATTCTCCTCCAAATGAGAAATCTCCCCAGGCTCTCTCCATTGCTAAAGCTCTTGTGCTTTCCTTCGTTGCCTTTTGCTCTGTCGCAGATCGCAGGGAACATATTTTATATCCAGTCAATGGCGAACGATGTGCCTTTGAGGCTGAAAGCCTGCTCTCCACAGTCCATGATCTAGGACATAGTATCGGTAAGCTACAAGCTCTTTTACTACTTGTAAGTATGCCCTGGCCAGTGTTTCCCTTTAGCATCTGCTTCTGATACCATTGGCAATAAATGATATTCTCGTTGCATGAGCTAATCATAGAGAAGGTTCTATTTCACTTCTCGCACGGAAGATTAGAGCTCGCAAGAGAGCTAATGAGCACTGTCGCCCGCTTAGCGAACGATTTATCTCCAGTTATGGGGTTTTCTGAATCCACTTCGAGTCCAGAAGGAAAGGTGGCACCGGTGTGTACTGGTTATGAAGAATCAACTTTTCGAACGCTCTATTGGAACAGCTTCATGCTCGATAAGGAATTATCTTTTCGAACGGGTACGCCAGTTCTTATGCTTGCCGAGTCTCTAATACCCGCTTCATTAGACGCGGCGGAATCTCCGATTGAGTATCTTTCAAAGCTATTCCCTACAAGCGACCCTCAGAATCATCGTACAGAGTTTTCTATGTCCCATTTAAAGCTAAGCTTAGTCATGTCAGGGGTATATTCAGAGCTCTATGAACCACATTCTCTCAAGAAATCCGACACTGAAATACTCAGAACTATTCGCGCTCTCGACGATGAGCTGGAAAAATGGCGACTCTCAATACCTAGGGCCTGCCGACCTACCCTCCACATTTCCGATCTTCCCACCCAATCGACTACAGATGTCGAACTTCTCTTGATCAATCTTAAGTATCACCACAGCCTAGGATGCATTCACCAAGCTGTCAGCCGATGCCGACCATGCGGTCCCATGACCGAGGCTCTTCGGTCAGGCCTCAATCTATCAGTTCGAGCGAGTGTTTCGTCTCTGGAAATCCTGTGTGCCACGCGCTTTATACTAACTCGAGAGATTTTCTGGTATGCAGGCCCGAGGCCCTGTCCTTTTCTAAAATGTGAATCTGACTTACCATCAGGTTCATCTGTTTCTATCTGCTTTCGGCGATCTTGAATCTGTTATGCAAGATCATCACCGAACCTTTCGATTTCGATAATCCGGAATGTATGAGGATTCTGAAAGATACCCCCGTGATCCTCCGAAAAATGGATACTCGTCAATTAACCTCCACCGAGAGACGGCACTTGGACCTCATGATTCTTCTTAGTTCAGAGCTTAGCGCTGTGGTAGAGAGAAGCAGCCTTCGAAATGGTGCATAGTCTAGGATCGTTTCCCTTCCATGTCTCTGTGATTTGTTTATGTGGGGATATCGATATGTTCGAATTTGATTTAGGTCTGCCAGATGGCAGGTTTTGTTCATATATAGCTACTTACTATGTCATTCTAACCGTCGATGGACAATATTGGTGACTCAGCGGTATATCTCTTCACAGAAGACCCAGGTGGGGGTATGTGTAGACTGAGAAATCACAGTTTCCGATTTATACCGGTCGATGCCAATAGATAGACATAGTATGGCTAAGACTGAAAGGAACAAGTGTGGGAGCGTCCCGTGTGTCCTTAGGACTAGCATCTATAAATGCTACGACATATTGGATCACACCATCAATTTCATAGTATACCTTTTCGGTTAGCTATAGTTATCTATCTGCAATAGCATTAATAATCAAATCTCACAGCGATCGGCATTTGATATAGCTTCAACGAAGAGTATTCTAACAAGCACTAAATCCCATAGTCGACGGTCTAGATGCATGCATGCACAGGTCCAGTGACCGGCAACCAATTTCCCCTCACCCCCAACATTCTCTCCGCATACACTTGCCATACATCATCCCCCCCCGTTCTCCACTACAGCCATACCGAACCTCTTACCATCACATACTCCGCACTCCATGCGCCCAAAACTCACCAAGCGAGCCTGCGACGAATGCATTACCCGCAAAGTTAAGTGCAGCGGCGCCTGGCCCTGCGATACATGCCGCAGTGCCCCAAAACAGGTGAAATGCACATACCTGAAACCGGCGCGTAGAAGAGGCCCCAAAGTTAGACGTCACACGGGCAAAATCGATTCTGTGAGCTTTGTTTCGGGGACAGATGCTTCTACTTCGTTGAATGTCGGTGCTTCGAACGAAAGTCATGATGGACATAGGACGATCTCTCGGTCAGTTCTCGAAACGGTGGTGCATTGGTACCAGCATTCATCGTACAGTGTTTGGCCAGTAATTGATGCGGAGGTGCTTTTGCGGCGACTCGCGGGCGACGACGGTGGCCATGACACTGATGTTTATTGTCTCGCCACGGCGCTTTGCGCGGCGACGATGGCGCAACTGCAGCTCCCACCATTGACCGATGACGGACAGGTTGTTGATTGTGTTGCAATGGCGAGTGAGTGCATGAGGTTGCGTGAGGAGAGCAATTATAGAGAAAATCTCGACATGAAGAGTATCCTTGTTTCGTTTTTCTTGCATGTGTATCATGCGAAGATCAATAAGCGGAACTCGGCGATGATGTTCATACAGGAGGCTATATCTGGCGCGAGGCTTTTGAAGTTAGATGAGTGGGACCGTGAGACAAGGGCTGGCGGTGATGAAGTCATTGCGAATGAGGATATTTTGTTCACTCTTCTCTGGGTTTCGGAGAGGTAAAGTCACCCTTGCGTATGTGGGTAACGCTGGATGTTGATCTTCTCAGGGGCTATGCAATGCATCTTGGACTCCTACCATCGTATACGAGCCCGATTCGCTTACTGGAGGGAATATATTCAGCAGGCAATGAGTATGCTCAAGGCTTACTGGAGCTAGCTAAGCTCTTCGCAGCTTTTGATAGCGTCTCTCTCAAGCGGAGTACCGGTGCTTTGAATCCTGATGTAATCTCGACCGATTGCCTTACAGATACGGAAGCGGCGTTGTCTATGCTTGCGCTAGAAGTGGGCGGCAGGGCATCTGTCCGGATGGCGGACTACTGCATTACTAAGGAATGGATGAGGACTATCATCTGGCAGGAAGCATTGTCTCGACAGATGTTATCCTCCAAAGCGTACTCCGAGCTTCTTACATTCAAGTTCCCAGCCCGTGTCAGTCGGGACCTCTTGTATTCATTACAAGGTTTCTCCGAGTTTGATTTGTTGCCTCTGGGTCGTGATCAGGTATGTTAGTCTCTTTCTATGGCGACGGTGGTGGTAACATGAATGCAGTTATTGAAGTGTTTCGAAGTAACAAACTCACTTGCTGATGTCGTGTTGTATACGCCCTCAGTTTCATCATATGAGCTTCGATTAGGGCCTCAGGACTTTTTGCATGCTTTGTACCAAAAGCTTCTTCCATTTTTAGAGCAGGATGCTATGCTTAAGTCTATCTTGCATGCGAAGACTGCGGAAGCTTTGGTAACAGCACCTGCTCGGTTGTTAAGATTTTATGATGAACAAATAGCGGATGACGAGAGCACTATGAATGAGTATCTGGACCGCTCCATATATGATACGGCTGAATTCAATCACAAGGTCTCAATGAGAGTTCATGATTAGTCGACACACAGAGTGTTCTCAGTGCGAGAGATGACGGTGGCTACTCCGATATCTGTAGCACGATCCTTCCTGCAATATCACCCTTCTCCATCTCCTCATATACCTGAGGCAACTCTTTAAACTTGCGGACTTTAATCTCTGGTTTCACCACACCACGCCTGACGAGGTCGACAGCCTCCATACATTCCTTCAGTGAGCCTACAAGATTTCCGGTAATCTTAAGTCCCTTGATCACGATGGTGCAGATCGGTGTCTCCAGCACCGGTCGGCCTGGAGGAATGCCAACACAGCTCAGTGTTCCGCCAACACGTAGCATTTCGCAGGCGTGAGCAAAAGCCTTTGCGCTTCCAGCTGTAACTACGACTGCGTGCGCCCCAAGCCCGGTGATTTCATGAACGCGCTGGACGGGGTCGGCCGAGGTGAAGTCAATAAATTCAGTAGCTCCGAGGCGAAGGACAAAGTCGCGTTTGTCTGCTGCATCAACACCAATGACCAATGCTCCTTGGGCTTTTGCGTATTGAACTGTTCAATTTAGCATTATATCAATGCATGTAGCTCCAATTATGACGACTCACCAGCTAAATGCCCAAGGCCACCTCCAGCACCAACAACGACCAGCCAGTGTCCCGCCCTGATATTAGCATTTAGTACCGCCTGCGTGGGGTATCAGTATCCTCAGCGGTAACAACAGGGACAAAGCAGAACCACCAACCTTATAGGCTGTGACACCAGCACATAAAACCGGCCCAATGACCACCGGATCAATATCATCCGGTAAGATCGTCAAATAATCCGCATCAAGTGCAATGAACTCCTGGAAGCTACCATCCTCATGGTGCAAATGATTTGTGCTCTTGACGCAATACTGTTCCGTCCCAGCGAGGCAGAACTCACAGCGTCGACAGATCCGACTCGAGAACCGGATTCCCACAAGACCTCCTACCTTTAAATCAGAACCACATCCGGGCCCGAGTGCCACAATCCGGCCAACCCCTTCGTGGCCGCCGACATGGGGGAGTTTAATCTTAGTTATGGGGTCACCAGACGGACCAGCTGCAGTGCCGTTCTTTGTATGGAGGTCTAATATTTAGCAGATTAGCAGATGTGCATAAAAGCCATATCAAAGTGTGTCAGTCTTTCTACGATAGCCAAGAAATATATATATAAAACGCACCACTTTGGCAGACACCAGTATACAGAACCTTCGCCAGGACTTCATTCTCGCCGGGTGTAGGAACTGGATATCCCTCACGAAACTCGACGTCTCCCCCCAGCTCGGATACCAGAGCTACAGTCTGAGTGGAGGGTATAGGGCCAGAAGTTGGTCGAAGGGCACCCATGATGAATATAGATATTGTTTCCTTAGTTGTTTCTCCAACCATTCAATAGACAACGAGAGCGGACAGCCACTGGTATAAATAGGCCTCTGGGTTCCAAACGTTCGTCTTCGCACCCGAAATCCGGATGGATCATTACGTATCATCCCTTCCTACCATGGGATTCAGCTTGTGGGAAGGCAATTCTCCAATTGATTACTTTTGCCATGGGCCCTGGTAGAGCTCCAATATACTCCGGAGAATTGCGTGGGGAGTTTTAACTCTTCGTAATGGCCAATACTGTAACTACGGAGTAGATCTGAGAATTACCAGTAGGGGCTCTCTGTTTTATACCACGTATCGGAGTAGAGTTATAATTTACAACCACGTATTTCTCCGAATGCAACCCAGCCCCGAAAGCGCCAGACGAAATGGAAACATGAGTAGCAAACATGGGTCGAAAAGTACCTATGCCTCTTGTCGTTCCCCTCATTTTGACACATCTACTCCGCCTTTTGTCCGCGGTTTGTGGCACGCTATTTCTCCGAGGTATTTCTCCGTGGAGGGTCTTCTGGGCTGCGTGACAAATAGGGATAGAAATTGGTTTGGGGGTAGTAGGTATTGGTTACTTTAAGTAATGGGTGATTCGTCTTGGGCATGCAGGGGTATAAAGATACGTATAAATCAGAGATTATTGAAGCTTTGTTATCAAATAACCCTGAGATCCCGCAGGCTCGGTATGTGAGACCTCATTATCCAATTGAAGCTCTTCCTTTTGTTCGTCCTGTTTGATGGTTTCTAGGTCCTTGAAGTACGTAAAAGACACAAGAGCCCTTGCAGTCTCCATTTTCTATGTATATATAGACCTTTGACTAGATAAATACATTCCTCCTTGAACGTAGGTCAAAGCCGCTCCAAGAATACTTATTCCAACAACCCAGCCGCAACGGTCTCACCTCCAGCCCGAAGAACAATTCTCGTAGGCGCCTCCAAAGGCACAGCATGATCCAGTTCCACAACGATTCGTGCCACGGAGCCTGGGCCAACGATCTTTGGCTTCTTCTTGATGGCGGCACCAGAGCCTTTATCCAACGTTGCGACAAGTCGACTTATCCGTCCAGGCACATGAAGGCGTCCCCGATGAACGTCAACCATGCTAGGCATCAGATGCTCAAATGCCAACACCTTGGCTGTGAATGATGTGATATTGGCGATAGGCGCAGAGGCACGGCAGATCACATCGCCGGAACGCAGGTGGATGGGGTCAATGTTTGCAAGGTTGAGCACCACGTTCTGACCCGCTACAGCCCAGTCGCTCGGTTCACCGTCCACTTCCAAGCTTCGAACCAATGCCGTTTCGCTGCTAGGCATCGTGAGAATTTGATCACCCACTTGCAAGCTGCCTGCATCGATCCGACCGGAAATCGAAAGGGGATTTTGGACGCTTCCGCGGAAGACATCACCAATGGTCATCCGCAATGGCTTGTCGAGGGCATGGGAGTAAGGCTCGGTAGCTTCAAGCTCCTCAATTAGGGTACGACCTGTATACCATGACACATTTGGATCCTCGCTTCGCTTTGTGACATTGTCACCACTGATGCCTGAACATGGCACAAATGCAATGTTTTTGGCCTGGAATCCCGCAGTGGTCAAGAAAGCTGAAACCTGTTGCTCGATCTCGTCATAGCGATCCTTGTTCCACTGAACAGAGTCCATCTTATTCACAGCAACAATAATTCGCTGAACACCCATGCTCCGCACCAGAAGAGCGTGCTCCTTAGTCTGACCCTTTAAGCCAGACTCAAAGTTCCCCGTGCCTGAATCAATAACAAGAACAGCAAAATCGGCCTGGCTAGCACCAGCTATCATGTTCGGCACAAAATCTCTGTGGCCGGGAGCATCTACAATTGTGAAGACGGTCTTCTCTGTCTCAAACTTGTTAGTCGCGATATCGATAGTGACACCGCGTGCTCTCTCCTCGGAACCTTGATCCAGCACCCAGGCAAGAGCAAAAGAGCCTTTGCCAATCTTCTCAGCTTCTCGCCGATACTTGTCAAGGGTCCGTTGGTCTATTGCCTTCAGATCAGCAAGTAAGCGGCCCATGAGCGTACTTTTTCCCGCATCGACATGGCCTGAGCCACCATTAGCAACACAATCCTGTGATAAGAAATGTGGGTGAAAACAAACCGATGACTGCAAAATTCATGGCATTTTTCCGCTTCGACTTTTGGTATTCGGATAAAACGTCCAGATTCTTGCTCTTAACGGTCACCTTCTCTGCGACGCTTAGGTTGTTCATGCCACCCGCTAGGTCGGTTTGGTTTTTCTTATCGCCAGCCGGCTTAGAAGCAGGCTGTTTCGACTTGAAGCCTGCACGTCTATTAGGGAGAGAGGTCCTAGATCTTGCGCCGAATAGCCAAACCTTTTGCAGAGCTTTGTGCGTTCAAGACGACATCATCTGGGCTTGGGCCTGTGAAATCAAAGGGTTCAGTAAGATCTTGTCCGTATATCTCCATCAGATCCAAAGAAGTTGAGAATAAGGGACTGGGCTCGGTCATCTTTGGTCGCGTAACATCCCCAACGATAGTGCTAGCGAAAGTAGAAGGCGAGGCGCGAATATTGACAGTAGGCTGTTCTTTTTCATCCTCTTTGTCCAAAGGCTCTGCAGTAATCTCTTGTTGTACATTTGCTAAATTATTCGGCGACGCCCCATTCTGCTTGACTGGCTCAGGAGACGGCTTCTTCTGGGGTGAATGGCTCCCGAGACGGGACAACTTTCCCAAAGGACGCGGCGATTGGGCACCCTCAGGCTTTTGTGATTTCCCATTGCCAGCAAGCCTTTCACGGAGAGATAAAGAAGCGCCTTTCTGCTCCGTTGAATGCGCTGGTGTCTTATCCACCTCAGCATTCTGCGGAGGGACCGCAGTTGAAGCCTTGTCACCCTCCTTTTTCTTGCGGGCAGCAGCCAAAGCAGCTAGTTTCGAAACCTTTCCACCAGATTCAGGAGACCCACCAAGAAGTCCAAGCCGAGGATAAAGAGGCTCTATGAGAATATCGGCCTTACGATGCGCCGGGACATTGAGCCACGGTGAGTCGCGGAAGAAGTCTGCGGCAGAGAAATGTGGGGGCTCTTGCGGAGCCGTATCAGGAGGTAAAGGGTATGCAGGCACTGAAAACCTGTTAGAACATTCTCGAGCTTCCATTTGGAGTCAGTTTACCAGCCAAAACCGAGGGACAGGGTACACTCACCACTATCGCAAAGGTGCGACAAGGGGGATTCCGCTGGAGACTCGAGCCTGCCCATGGGGGAATGGGGCAAGTTATATAAACAAAAGTGATCACGCTTACCTTTCGCCTTCGGAGCCGGAGCGGACGTGCTCTCCTTCTTCTTCACTTCCTTAGCTTTCTTATCTAACCAAGCCATCGCAATTAGCGTCCATGCCACCTCATCGATTTATCCCGTTGAACAGCAACACCCATTCGTCCATCTGCATAGCTTTCGTCAAACTCACTTCTTAAGTAGTTCACGGACTTTGCCACATCGTTATAGTAGTGCCATAATGCTTCCTGAACTTCGTCCCGCGAGGCCGTTACAGAAGGCGACCCCGCGAGGAGTTGACTCAACACCTCTGCAGTACACTGTTCGAGGAATTCCTGTTCTTCGGGATCTGGTGAGTCATATCCATCATCATCGAAATCATCATCATCGTAAGCTACAGCCTTTACGCGATGGCGCGACATGGTGGCTGTTGTGATTGTTGGAGGGGCAGGTGGACTTGGAGGGGTTCAGCCGCACCAGGCTGGTGTGTGGACGGGGAGTAAGGTGAGGGCAAGTATTCCAGCACGTCACGTCTCTCGGTGGTGTCTCCCAATCACCCAGATGCGAATTACCGGGCGCAGTGGATCAGAGGAATAGTGTAGCAGATGCCGAATTGTAAAGGAAGAAGAGGCCAACCTCCAAACGTCATTCCCTCATTTATTGTCCCCGCTCCGCAGACCGCTTTCCACCCTAATACATAAACATGAATCCTCTTATTGGCCCATCGTAGAGCATAGATCCGAAGAAGATTAATAGTAAACAAACCGAAAAATTTCCAGTTCGTAGATGTAAATAATGAAGTTCAGTTGTATTGTTTTCTAAAAATGGCTCTAGCAACTAGTGACTAAAAGCAAGTGTCGTGTCTGTCTGCAGAGCAGCTACTACGTACACCAACACTAACGTATCTCTATCCAGTCCTACGACATGTCATACCATCATGAATAATTGTCAGTGCGAAATTCTCTCTAAGGGGGTGGTCATTTCAATGGACTCCCACCAAAAAAGTCTCCTGTTCCCGGGCCAGCAAAGCTGCCATTACTCGGGGTCAGAGCAACCGAGCGTCGGAATCCCTGTCTGGGTGTAGTGGGCGCACTGGCAGCAGGGGCGGTCACTTCAGGAGTGCTGGGGGTGTTTCTACCGCTATTATTCTGCATCGTCACTGCAGTTCCAGGCCGTGATAAAACGGCTGTAGCGCCGTTTCGAGCTGGTGGTCGGAATCCTAGTTTGGATCCCTCGCGGAATAGCTCCTCAAGTATTTGTGAGACCACCCCTGCGTCTTCATATTCCTGGAACTTCTTCCAAAGACGGAGGGCCATGCGTGCATCTTCAATGGAATCATGCCCTTGGTTATTGTCGGTGGGTTCTTCTTGGATATATTCCTTGAACACAGCCCAGGCTAAGTATCGGAGACTGAGACGCCGATTCTTACCTGGGTGGAAGAACAAATACTGTGTATCGACTGTCTGACTTTTGGGGACTTGGATATTGATTTTGCGGAAGTCGGAGGCTAATCCGTGCCCGACAAAAACGCATCCCAAATTGAGGAGTAGCCACAACTTCTTATATGCGACTTTAAGTGGGACAAGATTGTGCTGGCTAGTCCTCGGGTCTAAGTCACCGGGTTTAATACCAGAGTATTGAGTGACATAGTCAACGATTGTCTCTTTGATGGTGATATAATCATCGATAAAAGGTACGCCTTCTCGAGTCCCGGAGCCTCTAAGAACGGAAACTCGAGCAAGGCCACTCTTGCTGGGCCGTACAATTTCTTGAGAACCATCGGCTTTCACATCGATCTCTGCTTTTTCGAGATCAACAAATTCGGTGTCAAGGGCAACAGGAGTACCAGGGCTCGGCTTCTCTTCCTCTGAAAGAGTAGCAAGTGATTCCACGGGGCGACCGCCACTAAAAGGAATGGTCAGCATGGAACTATCTCGGCTTTGTAGCACAGATTCAACCCACTTAAGTGACCAATCACGGTAAAGAAGAGTTGTGTCAAGGACGTTCTTCCAGTTATCATCCATGGCGTGGCGAGCATCCTTCACCTGGTATGCCAGCACACACGGCACTTTCCACGGTTGATTGAATCGGAGCGCTTCATCCTTGTCTACCTCCGTGACCAGGAAGTCATTGAACAGATGCCACTTATTTGCAGACTCCGGCTCGCGCGAGGAGATTGACACATTAATAAAGGAGACTAGATGAGCTTTCTGATGCTCGGGAATATCAATTTCTGAAACCACGCCTACCAATTCATATACCACAAGGCCCGGCATGTTGTTCTGCATCCGCATTCGAAGGTCTTCCCCTTCAAAGCACAAGATCTGGCCAGCATCAACCACGAGGCCAACCGCTTCTGGTAACCATCCGGGAATTGCCCAAAGCCGTTTGCAGATAGGATTATTTAGTGCGGTGTTGAGCATCATAACGAGTGGCATGCGATGTACTGTCTTCCGAATAGCCACTTGCTGGTAACGTCGGCAGTAATTGCACCATCCTCTGTTTTGAGTCTCGCGCTCAATGCTTGCCCGTAAAATGTTTGAGAAACGGTACGCAGGGTTCCTACGGATCTGCTTTATATCAATTGCCGGGTAAATTAACTCATTAACCAGCGAGTTCCCTGGTCGGACAATTTCCTTCTGGCAAAACATGCAGCGAATAGACTCGGAAGCAACGGTTGCTAATTTATGGTCGAGGTCATCTGAGCTCGGGAGGATCATGCGGAAATCATGAGAAATTTGGCCAAGGAAAAATCTGTTGACAGCCTGAATTGAAGTAGACAACGCCTTATTCGTCAAATTCTCTTCAAGTAGCCCCAAACTGGAGGCTTCCCGAAAACTACCGAAAGTTTTTAGAAGATTTGTCGCTTGACAGTTTTGACCGTCGGCTTTCTCAAGCATATCGAAGAGATAGCCCATCTCACATAGGAGGCAGTTCTCAAATATGCATGTGCTTGCGGCGTGGTGGAGAGCTACATTTCGTATCAACGGGATGAACTTGAATAGCTGGAGGAGAGCGTTTGTGAAGGAGTTTGCAATGTGTGTCTCTAGACCAGAGAATTTAGTCTGGTTATAGAATCTGTATCAAATGTCAACTGATCTGTTTTGATTTGTAGAGCTCAGTGTGTGTCTTACCGAAAGTCGAAATCATCGACACCAAATCGGCTGTATTTGATCTCGACATTACTGTACTTGAGAAGAGGGTCGTCCTCTGCTTCGCCGTTAAGCTTCGTGCCCGCAAGTGTCTCCGCCGTATCAGTAACGAGGCCATCCGACTTCGCCTTACTTTGTTCTCTTGCCTTTTCGCTCAGGAACTTCGGCGCGATAAGGGCAGGTTCCGAATTGGCCATCGCGCGAGTATTCTCTACTTGATTTCGTCGAGTCTTTTTCGGGTTCGGTGCATAGTGCCCAATCTCCGCGGGACGTAGGTAGGGAATTAGTGCTTGGTCAATAGGGGCCGGCGGGTTGCCAATCTCAAAAACAAGGTGGCTTGGCCAAGCAGAAAACAGCCGCTCGTGGTAATATGGCATCCCAATCATACTCAAGGGCGTATCGGGTGACCAGTCAAGGGGTGGAGGTCGGGCAGGTACATCCGCAAATTCAACTTCCTTGCTCATCTCATTGAAATGTACTTTCGATGGAGAACCCCACAAGTGGATCGCACACTCGGCATCATTTATGGCTAATGCCTCCCCAGAGGGCGACAAATCGATCCCAAGCATGAACGAAACATTGGCTTGGCGGAGATTGATTGCGTTAGGGTTCATAAGGTCGACCACCTGCAGCTGACCGGTCTGTGACGCAACAAAACTGGTGGTATGCAGTTTAGGATGCATGCGTACATACGCAGCTCCAGCATGGAAAGGTATAGGAGGTAATGGTGATAGTGTCTTGAGGTCATAAACGTTGGCCAAGGGGTCGACGATCGGTGATCCCAGATGTCGAACCGAAAATCCACAGGTGACCAGAAGGTCATTCCTAGCATCCATATCATTAACAGCTGTTCCGTGAGCCTTCCAAGACTTAACGACACGAAAATCAGTGAGACTCAAGGCGTTCACTGATCCGGTGTCTGTCGCAGCACAAAGATATCGACTCTTTTTCATCATAGTATAATTATATTCGGTCGGCAGCTTGTCGACTATGTGTCCCTTATCGATATCAATTGTGAACATTGACTTCTGACACCCCGCTACTATAACTTTGTTCAGTTGTGCTGTGAAACTCATGCAGCGTAGATCCGTCATGTCCTCATGAGTAATGTGCCATTGCGTCAGGCCACGCCGGGTTATCATATGCACACTCTTCGAAGACAACGATATCACGCCTCTATCATGAAACAGTATCTGCCGTACGGGGCCTTCGGAAACTGGGTGTGCTCGGACGGAGGTATATCTCTGTAATTCTGGACCGCAAAAGGATGTAATTCGGCCCTGCAAACGCAGATCAGCACCTGGCCAACTTCTAGAATCAACGACCTTACATATTCGTTCCCAGCCCACAACAATTCCATCACATCATCAAAGGCTATTGCTGTCGCAATCGTTGGCATACCATGTGGGCTTGGAGGTGGCACCGGAATGCGCGACAGTTCATCCCAATCGGCTTCCATGGTGCTAACATTGCACCCGGGTTTGCGCCCGAGCTTCTATCGTCTTTAAATCAGATGCAGGCGGCGTGTACAATTCCTAAAGGTTGAAACGGTCTTGTTCATTCGGGAAGAGAGCGAAATCGGGCATTGTTCGGCGTAGACGCGATTACGGGGGGAGCTAACAAAGGTCGTTTTTGAGAATCGCAGCACGCGGTCTTGAAGGGGTAGAAACCGAGCTAAGATATCCCATTCACTAGCAATCTCACCCTTCTCTGTTCGAAAATATACTTGGAAAGCCCCCCAAGCGTGCAATCTGCAAAGGTAAGGCGGTAATACTGATGAGGTACCGACACGTCATCACGTGAAAGCTAGAGCGGGGGACATGTAGTATCGCCTGAGGCAGTGATCAGGTTGCCCAAAAGAGAAAAACCAAAAAGAAGCATCAAGTATACACACTGCTTGTCCTAATGCCACAAACCCAGGCGCATACTTATACCCCAAGCTATGGCACTTTGGTCATATGCATTCATATTGGATATTGACTTTTCCTAGTTCTAAAATACTCACCTCTGAACATATACTTGCACCAAAAGATCGGAACATACTACGATGTAGGCAAAACAAACCATAGCACATGCAAATTGTATAGAGTGAGCAACAGCACTATAGTCCCAATTCAGCACAGAAGCAATGCATATTCAGTACACGTGGAGCTTTTAAAACTTCAATCGTATTTCAAGTGCTCATATAAAATAGAAATCAAGATCATGTTTCGTAGTACTTTGAATGCGTTTAATCGCACCATGTATGTGTATACCATATCGGACCGCCAATGACCGCCTTCGAAGGTTGGAATTATTAGCTCAGGGGGAAAATCCCCGACCGTAACAAAAGTCGTCGTTGTCTGCATACCGCAGTATTAATAACCACACCAAAAGGGGTCATATAAATGTGAAAATTTCTCATATGATGCATTATACAAGTAGGCATTCTAAGGAAATTTTATTGGGAAAATTAATCGCTTTTGACGGCGTTATAAGCTTGAGATCTTGACCCTCCAGAAGATACAGGATCCCTATTCCTTCCCTGACAGACTGTATAAAATCAGGGTTCAGCCCTTTCTCCATCCAAATGTAATATAGTGCGCTTTCAAGTAGTAGGAGTGTCGGGTATCTATTCCGGAGTATGTACCTATCTCTATTGACCATCCGTAGAACTCTTGCCAAGAACTTTGATATGATTAAAAGATGTAAACCATCTTCACTGGGCATAAGCTTGATGGGGCTTTTATCAGGGCCAAGTGGAAGGGTCCATACGTTGCCGTTTCTATCGGCTGCGACTAGTCAAGGAACATTCGCCCAGTGTCTATAAGTACTTAGATATACTTCTATGACGAAGATCAGGGTAGCTATATCGTGATTTTTCTGAGCTGTTGCGACTATGGGGATTTCATTTACATAATCAAACGAAGTGCATCGAACACATGACAAAAGTCCATATTCGTCTTGTGGTTAGGCACACAACAAGGCGCAAGTGAAAATGAACAACTGGCTACCAAGATCGACAAAGCAGGCTAATGTAACAGAAAAAGCAAAAGCAATCCTCCGGCACTCGCCTACACCCGAGACCAAGCATCAAACCGTCATCGCGTTACACAAACCTCAATGGGAAAATGGTGCCAATACGCCGGTTCATTAAGTGAAATCATGATATTCAGATCTTGTAAGCCTCGCCACTAATGGTTAACGATAGAATGAAGCTGGGTTAGAGCTAGGTGCCGTTCCTTGGGATGGGTTGTATGCTTGATAGCCTCCTGCTCCGGGCGTTAAAGAAGGGTAAGGTGCCGGTGTTGACGTTGTGCCCGGGACAGGGGGGGGCTGATGCATAGGTGGTTGTTGATTGGAAGCTGGGCCTGTAGGATACGGGGGCTGTGGCTTAGCTGCATCTTCATGGACATAAGGAGGGTATTCCTGCTGCTGCTGCTGTTGTTGTTGTTGTTGTTGATGATGTTGCTGCTGCTGCTGCTGCTGCTGCTGCTGCTGGAACGGTGGCTGGACAGCCGGCGGGGCTTGTCCGCTAGCAGGATATGGAATTCGTTGGTTTGCGGAAGGATGCTCAACAGGAGAGTCATAAACAGATGTTCCTAGCTCTTGTGGGTGCTCATATGTTGATTCTGGTCGGTGATGCACGGGCTGATAGGATGCACCAGCTGGAGGTGTGCGGGTACGTGGATCGGGAGACTGAGATGTCGGAGGGTACATAGGCGCTTGATCTGCCCCGTAGTAAGGGGATGTATTGGGCTGGTGTGATTGGGTTTCTTCTCATGACATTAGAGCTATGTTTGCTAGTAATATCCCCTGGCGATCACGAACCTTGAGGCCGAGGGCTAAAATATCTTTGGGGATCAGATTGCGGAGGGCCCTGAGGATAGCCCATGGATGCCGCAGGTCCGGGATATCCATACTGAGATGGACCAGGCCTGCCATACGGGGGCTGGGCGGGGTGCGACATGGATGCCTCCAGAAGAGATTCATAGTCCCGTCTCGCTTTTATGAACTTCTCATTGAGTTGGGTGAACTCGTCTAGATACGCATCAGCTAAACGAACTGAAACGGCCTCAAGCAACTATACCTTTTTTCTGAGAATATTTGCCAATGAGCTCAATCAACTTAGGTCGAATTGCCAAAGTAGAGTGATACAGAGCTGTGATTTCTTCATTATCCTGAACGTTTGGTTCGGTACTACGTGTGCTGAGGAGTGTCAACAACTTCTCAACGTTCTTGATCTGGCCGAACACCTCGCCTTCCATCTGAGCTTCCCGCTGTAACTCTTCAACTGTAGGGTCTGGAAGCTTTTCAACATAATTGAGGGGGAAAATGCCTGTTTGCCCTCTTAGAGAGCCCTTCCACCAATCCTTATACACGGACTCAAGTACTGCAATGACATCGCCTCTGCGGAATTGTAGTTCGCCGGATTCTGAAGGCTGGAAGTCATAGAGAGCCCTAACTCGCGAGACAGTGGCAGCGGAAGTACCAGAAGGAACCGCCTGATATGTTGGGGCTTGTGCCTGGCTGGTAGGGGCAGCGTTAGAAGTACTCGACTCCGGCTGTGGCTCAGAGGCCACGGGATTCTTTTCTCTGATGGAGAGGGCCAGCGCCATCTGCAACTCCTCCTCTTCTTTCTGACGATCTGCTTCGGTTATCTCTGTCTTCACAGGCTTTGAAGGGGGCTGCAGGTTCGGGTCTGCGCGAGTTGGATGTAAGTAATGAGTCCCATCAATGCGACACCCTATCAATGACTTACTTTGTGTCTTTAGCTTCATGTATGCTTGCTCCATGATGCCGAAGTCTGGGTTACTAGAAAACATCTCTGTCCACTCTTGCATACGCTCTAGAATCTTTGCCTTGACCTGCTGGTGGGTGTTCTGCCGGAAACGCTGTCAGAGCTTTCTTCAGATGCAGGACGGCGACGATACGTACTCTGTCACTAGCAAGGCGGAGTAGGGAATCCGTGAAGCTTCGCGAAGCCAGTTCGCGGTGTATCTTCGGGCCGCAGTTCTGTGCCAAAGCATTGCCCAACTATGAGAAATGTGAGAATTCGTCCTTGGTATATTCCAGGTGTTCTGAACGAGAGTGCGAACCTCCAAAGTATACAGTTGCACATTGGCGTTTCTATGCGCAAGCCTCTTGATCAGAGCGGCAACAGCATCTTTCGCGCTATATTCAGGAACACATATTAACACCGATTCGTATAGATTTGGACCAAAACCAAGAGACAAAAGAATTTCAGACTCACCCTGACTCCTCCGCCGCAACTTTGTCGCACACATCCTATTAGACGAAGGCATCAGATAAGTACATCCAAATCCGATTGCAGTATACTGAAGTGGTAAAAGAGCTCCCATACAAGAATATATTCCCAGTTCTCCGATGTCAAATTCTCGTCGGTCGCCTTGGCTAATTGCGCAGAAGAATTCACGTCAGCAAGCTCTACATAGCAACCGGACTTGCATTTTGCCCACGAATTGCATGGCAGTATGACAGGAGAGTAGCCGGGACATCGTACCGACTGCGTCATCGAAGGCGTTCTGCTGTGCGCGGAACATGATTGTTCTTCCTCAAGCTAACCTAACTGACGGCGTAATGTCTGGATTGACGGTGGTAGGTAGTATGATCTTTCGTTTAAGAGAATACGAGACTTGTGGTCGGTGTAGTAATTTGATCGCCTGCAGGTATTGACTCGGCTAGATGTTAGCCACTGAACCTCCTGATGGCCTCCAGGTCCCTGATCAACGCCCGATGCGGGGAACCGATTGACGGTATCGAGACGTAAGGCTGAGGTCGGCTGGTTGTTGAGCAGTGTCTATTGGCTTCGTGAAGATGAAAAGGGGAAACAGACTCCCGCTAAGACTTGGAAGGGATCTCAGGAATAACGAAGGAACGTGAAGATCTCGGGCATTCAGTGGAAGGCTGCAACTGATACTGCCTTACGGTCCCAGTAGTGGTACTAAACAGGTGATCGCGCAGGCGGAGAGCTGCGCCTCTGACGCTGACTGGCCGCGCGCTACGCCCAAATAAGCGAGTTTGGGCGCCTACTAACTACTAAGTGCCTAGTATGACGATATTACCAACTGACGGAAACTTATCAGGCAGGTACCAGCCCACACGGTATCCGATCTGTATGTTTGGATACGAAGGCTATCTATCAGTACTATGTACTAGTCCGTAGGAAGATAACGTACAAAATAATTGCAAATTGTTATCCATGTGGCTCCTTTCACCTATATTGGGATAAGTACGTATCTGAGTTATATACAAATAATTAGCCAGTACCCAGAATTTGAAGTGGATAGAATTACATGTTACCATGACTGTACGGAGTACGTGCCCCCATGGGCAGAGCAGGGCAGGCATGGCATTCTTGAGCTATTTCAAGTAACTGTACAACTACCTTTCGCTGAGCTAGAGAGACCAGAACGCGGCGCAAAGAATAGAATACCTTGTGAATCTGCAGCACGAATATCGATGATCATTCAAACGGGATTTACATACAGGGTCGTTAATTTTTCAGTCGCAGCCCGGTTCAGCTCATCATGAATCCATCTTCAAGTTCGTTAATAGGGGAGACACCAGGAAGAATCCACCCTCTTCTTATTTTAAATAATATCTAAACAGCCAGGCTCTCGCTATCATTATGAGGATAAGTGAAAAAGAAATCATATATTAAACCGGCAAGAGGCCCAGCCGTGCCTTCGTATGTGCCGCTTAAGTCTGGGTTATTCTTCCCAAACGTATGCTCATTCATTATGAAGGGTCATGTCCCGCGAGCCCTAGCTTTCAATCCCGCCGGCCCAGAAAGTAGAATTACCGGCCAGTAACAATAAACGAAGGGCACCCCATATAGGATTTACAGTATTTTCCATCATCCCAACATCGGTGATGATACAAATAAAAAGAGTGAGGTGTGTGAGGAAACATCATCACAGTAAGAGGATATATTCGAACGTGAGATAAGGTGCGGAATTTTTTTTTTCGTAAGCCCCGTCACAGCAGGAAAGAAGAAAGCGCAAAGCCATCAATCATCGCCATCTATGAGATTTAGATCCAGAAGAGAAACACGGGCATGGGAGGTCGTCACGAGAGATTGTGCCATTATGCAGCAGCAGCATATCATGGCCCAGCAAGATATAAGAAAACATCAGGAGCAATGGGTATCTGGAGAAGACAGAAGACATCGACGTATATAGAGACAATTAAGTGCGAAGAGGCTCAATGACCCCCTTTTTGGGCTTTCTCCTGGGCCCTGCTTAGCCGTGCGGCTTTTACAAGGGGTGCTAAATGGGATAGAGGGGCACAAAAAGACATAAAAGGGTGCTTTTAACAAGGCGTCAGCACAGCTTCCGTTAACTGAAGTCGGGAACATACCTTCAGCAAGTCATGGGCCGAGGCTCTCTTTTCAGGATCGACCTTCAGTGCAAGGTGCAAGAAGTCTCGGAAAACCGGTGTCAGGCTCTGTTCATCCTTGATCGTGGGGGTCCCGTTCGTTGCGATCAAGTATAGTGCCCGAAGAGGTGACTCGGTGAGATACGGAGGCTCGCCCTCGATCATCTCGATGGCCATAATTCCCAAGCTCCAAATGTCAACCTTTCGACCATACTCTTTTCTCGTAACGACTTCCGGAGCCATCCAGTACGGGGTGCCGACCATCGTGTTTCGCTTGTTGTGCGAGTCGTTGATTTGGGCGCAGAATCCAAAATCGGCTATATGAGGTTAGAATATATAGAGTGAAAAATGAAGCAGAGGAACCTTACTCAATTTTATATTGCCATCCAATGACAGGAGAATGTTGTCTGATTTGATATCACGATGGATTACGCCTTTGGAATGAAGGTGCTGTAGACCATTCAGAGTCTTCACGGGAAATGGTCAGGATCCGGGCCACATGTAAATAAGGATATTTTTGGAAACTCACTTCTCTGCAGACGGCAGCAATCTGCCCTTCACTCATGATATTGAAAGTGACCACATCGGTAAGACTGCCACCCTCCATATATTCCATCACCACCCAGAGGTCTAGACCATGAAGATAACTGTCCAAGAAATTGACTATGTTCTTGTGCTTACTGTCTTTCATGACGATAATCTCATTTATAATAAGATCCTTCTTCGGTTGCAGATCAAGATTCATTTGCTTGATGGCAACACAGCTGCCTGTCGCATTGTGGTACGCGGTGAATACGCCACCAGAAGCACCCTGGCCAATCTTGTTCAGGTTGTAGTACATCTTAGTTGGATCGCCAGGAGTGCAAATGGCGACTAGTCGTGACCGTATATCCATGGCATTGCTCTGGCGAGCTCGTTGCCGTGGGCGAGCAGCGGGAACGGCACGAGCGCCTTGCTGATGCGCAGCAGATGGATCCTCCACGGGCGACACCTGTTGTGGAATTGGTTGCGTTGCTTGTTTTTGTTTTGGCTGCTGTGCCTGCTGCTGGCGTAGGCTTTGACTGCGGTCAAGTTGCTTGCCTGCAATTGCCTGTTGGGCTGCGGCCATTGCCTGCTCCTGTTGTTGTTGGTACTGTGTTGGCGTGGAGGCCACAGCTGGTGACACCCATGGAGCAACTGTGCCGTTAGCCTTAGAGTTTGATCTGCTCAGCTGCGGCCCAGACGGTAAGGGCTCGGATTCCGGTATGGGTGGTGTGCCGAACGGCTGAGCATTCTCCGGGATCGTTCCAAACTGAGGCCAGGGATCCTGTGCTGGTCTTGTCGTAGCGTATGAAGCAGTAGTTGGGGGCTGAGGAGCAGGGCGGGCGGGCGTCATATTAGCGGCAGCTGGGGGTCTTGGAGGGGCTCGGTTGGGTACAAGGCCACCAACTGGGGGTGACATAGCCTGGGTTGCCGCTGGAGCGCCCCGGGGAATCGGAGGTGGCGCTCTTGGGTTTTCAAAACTCCCCTCATGGTTTTGTGGGAAACGTGGGCTTGTGGGAGATGAGGCTCGCTGGCCCACAGTGCCATAGGGAGTCGAGCCACCAGAGCTGGGCTGCGATGAGGCAGTGGTAACTGGTTGATGATGGGCATATGCGTGGTCAAACTTGTGCCAGACCTCATCGTCTCCTTGCGCATTCTTCTCGTAGAATCTCATAATATCAACCATAGTTTGCGGGTGTTCTTCCTGCTCCTTCTTTGAGATACCGCTTTCCTGTAACAGGCGTTGCCATTCTTTAGGCAGGCCCGTGAACTGGCCCGTCTGGTTATCGTAGCCGACATGTGTGACATGGACGGGATTCTCCGGTGCAGAGATCTTAATACCACGAGGAGAACCTAGCATGCTGTTGACGAAGCTGGAGAAGCTGGCCTTCTTACTTCGCCCAACCGGTTTAGTGCCATTTCCCTCATCGGAATATCGCTTAGTATTCGTCGAGCGATCGCTATCCGTTCTATTTACTAGGGCGTCCATACGGTTGTGTAGAGCGGTGAAGCTAGCGGATTGTCTGAGTCCTCGAGTGTCGGGGGCTGTCTGAGACCGTAACGTCGGAGGTTTCTGGGTTGGTTGTCTGTCGGACTCGGCAGTGTTTTCTTGCAAAGCACTTAGCATACCCCGTGAATCAAACGGGGCACCGATCAATTCATCTGAGCTTTGAGCGTTGAGTGAGAACCGTCCCGAGTGGGGCGGACGGGATTTGGTGGTGTTGTGGTTACCAGAGAAATAGCCAGATTCGTTGTTTGCAAGAACTGGGGATGGCCCACCACTGTTCTGATCCAGAGAGGATGTAGAAGAGCCGTATGCGTTGGATCTCGTGCGCGAATGTTCTCGGCTTCTGCTGGCAGAAGAACGCGGATACACGGGCGCTGAGGGGTGTCGTTTAAGTGACGTGTTGCTCTGCTGACTCTTAAGCATGCGGGAACCGATACTAGGAGGGTCCTTGTGAAGCTTGCTTGACGGTCGTCGAAATTTGAGGGAAGAAAAACTATCGTGATTCATGACGTGCGGATTTTACGGGGGATATTCCAGCAGGTCGGGCGGTTTGGTGGTTGCAGGGTAAGTGCCACTAGGCTCAATGTTGGGCTTGATTGGAGGGACTGGAGGGGGGGGGAAAGCCACCTGTGGTGAGGCGGTGCTTTCAGGCTGAGCAGCCCAGTCCGTCAATATCGATTGTGGAACTAGGTACTTCGGGGGGGGGGGGTGCGTGATGCTGTATGGTAGGATGTGTCCACTGAGAGGAAGGTTGTCGTTGGAGCAATGAGGGGATCGGGGATGCAAGAAGATCCAGATAGCGATGCAAGGGAGGGCGCGAAAAGAAGCTGCCGCGGGCTACCGTCAACCAGTGGTTAGCACGTGGAGAGCCGCTCGCTGGATGGATCAGAAACCACAGCGTCCAAACGATTAATTTGATAAAGTAGACTTTAAAGGCGGTGACGGGCTTTCAACTCCGAGAGGGAAGCATGAAAAGGGGACCCGAAAAAACAGGGAAAATCAAATAAAAAATAATATATAATGAAAGGAGCAAATTTATGAATGGAGATCAACAGAATAAAAAGCAAGAAAATAAAAAGAGATATATGTGATTAACCGACAGCTCAGCACACAGACCTGCAACCCATGGGGTGGTGGAAAAGGCTGGAAAGGGTAAAAAAAGGAAATAAAGAAAAAGCAATAACAATGCTATGACGGTGACAACTCGAAGAGGAGAAGAGTACGGAGAATAATTAATCAACCTCAGTTGGGGAACCAGTGATTTAGTTAGATTGGAGGCTGGGCCAGCTACGGGGGACAAGCGAGTGCCAAACGGCCCGTCCAGCGTCATTGCAATAATAATATTATTATCAACGGTACATGCTATGGGGAAGGATAATTTCCTTTCACGGGCCAGCCACTAGGGTTGTTGACTTGGCTTGATCTCATTGTCACAGTTGACAAAAATAATAATAATAATAATAAAATAACAAGAATAAGGGCGGTCAATGGGAATTAATGCTATTTAACTTTGTGTGATCCGTAGGTATTTATTGATTTATTTTTCTTGATTTATTTTTCTTTCTATTATCTTTCTTTCTTCCGATCCTTCTATAATATCGTTGCATAGCGAACCCGTGATTGGTACTTTTGGTATGATACATACGAGAACTACTCTTTACACAGGTTGGAAATTCCTGACAACTACTTGCTAGTATATACTTGGAAAATCCGTCACTTTGTACTCCGTACTAGGGTATACATCATCTGTCTCAGATCATCCATCCTCTAAGCAAAAAGAAAAATTCTAGACACCTGTTAGACCTTGGACTCCATTGCAATGGGGTCGTTGACTCGTTGACCCGAACAGCTCCCAGACACCCACCCTCACTCTTGGGAAATTACAATCCGAGTCCACACAGTCTGTTAGCCGTAGAAGACATCCTTCGGATCAGTGTGGCTCCATTTTTATTTATTTTACCCATGCTTCTCCCTTTACATTTTCAAGGCATGCCGGTACGTAAAGTGGTTTCATTTATCTCTATCGACCTTTTCCGATCGTGCTCCAACCTAAATCTCGAGGCACAATGTGAAGCTCACATCCTTCGAAACATTCTTGTGTCCGCTGGAAGCTCCACTTTGGAAGGCGGGGCTAAGGTTCCTTGACACAGTCGGCCTATGGTTGGATAGAAAGTTCCAAGCCGTCAACCAGACTTTCCCTGAACCATAATTCGGGTGACATATTTGCCAACCCGAGCTTCGACTCACATCTCCAGGATTGGTTCGGTTGGGATCAGACAGCGCCTTAATTTCCACTGTCTCGACTTGCCGGAGACAATCACCGTCTTACCATATTGCTTATTATTCTCGGTTCGGTCTTTTCTGATGCTGTGTAGCCCTAATCAGCAATCTAGAAATTCGAGAAGGACAATTTAGTGGATCTTCACACCTCGGGAGCTCAGGTCTCTTCTTCCTCCACCCACCAACAAAGTTAATTAGAGAGAGGACCACGCAAACCAAATATTTAATAAAAAAAAAAAAAAAAAAAAAAAAAAAGGGAGGAAAAAAAAAAAAAAAAAAAAAAAAAAAAAATGAAGACGTAATACTGCTGTGAACCTTCTGCCCAACCGTTTTGCTCTTCAAAATTCTGTACATGTTATGCTGCAGGTACAGTACCAACTACCAACACCATCCTCGGTCGACCGGATGAGCAAATTCCTACTCATTCCCCCTGCAGTCAGAACACAGCCCAGCCAAGTCGCACAAATGTTTCTCATTCCCGACTAGTCAGGCAATTAGTCTATCTAAGCCAACTCCCAGGTATATTGCAGTCCTTGTGGGCTATCATATGTGACTGGTAGTCGGTTAGACTCTTCCAGAAACGCGGGACGATACAGCCAATCCACCGTCCTCCTTCATTAGTGCTGCTGGTAAACGATCCTTATGGTGTACGATTTCTCCCCAGAGCATGGGTATCTTAGGAACTCCACTTGTATAAATCAGGAGTTTCTTTTTTTTTTTTTTCCCTTTGACCTTGTTATATCGTAGCCAAAGCAGTAATACGAATAGACTCTGTCCGATTCAATCAATTTGCGACCTGTGGCTGTCGTGCTAGCCCCAGAACAGACTCCTAGGGAAAGTGCCTGGTGGATCATTTCTTGGGGTGGAACATCGTCTCTGATGAGTCATCTGGTATTCACGTGATTATCACTCTTATGGAAAGGAGAGATCAATGAAGCTATACAGAGTATACACTTCCAGAAAGGGTAATATTGTGCCAAATCCACCGAATGCATGCGATCATGGTACTGCTAGTAGTTCCGAAGCTCTTCCCAATTAAGCATATCCCAATCAGTCTAGGATACAGAGTGCAGTACCTATAAACATCCACCCAACTACGGATACGCTAGGTATATCCTTTGCTATGGCTATGTGCACATCGTTTGATTCTAGGTTATTTAAGTAGGTGGGCAGTATTCCTTTCACAGCTCCAGAGTAGCCCTATGATAATACCTGACCATTAGGCTCATTGTTTTGCGCGCTCATAATCCATCGTAATCTGAGTCGTGAAATGGAATATATAATGTCAGTGTGCGCATCACTTCCGATTGAAGAAACCTCTGGATATTGGACCGTCATAATTGACCTTTTATGGTAGATCACACCAACTATTAATATTTAGACCTCGTGCAAAGTTATACACAAATTGAAATACAGCGCTCCGTTAATTGGTTTACAGCCCACTCTGGAGAAATCTCTACCATGAGTGAGCCCACTTAACCTACCTTTCCCCCATTTTAAGACTCCTCGTTTGAGGTACAGGCAAAGCGAGCTGAATACGTAACTCTGAGATGTTGGCCATCGCATTGCGATTCTTCTTGGCCATACCTAAACTCTAACTTTCCATTAACACCCTGGCCAGCGGACTATCTGCACACGAGGATATTCTAGGTTCGGCCCGCTGCATGAAAGGAGCTACCGTCCAATATACTTCAACTCCAGCTTCCTCAACGGTATGTACGAAACACTCGTGAAAACCAATGCTAGCTCATTGGCTATATCTCCCCCATCCGCGCCGATCAATTTTGCGATGGCACCGACATAATATGTCTCAACCATGCCTACGATCCATCCCGCCGCGCCGCACAGAAAAGCAGTAAGGCCCGCGAACCCAATAGGCATTTTCGACGGCGTATTCCAGGCATCAAGATCGTAGTTTGCTACATTGCCGCCCCGGAAAACGTAGTGTTCGCAGAACAATATGACGAAAAATGAGGTGTTCCAATAGCCCAGCAAGGAGAGGAAGTTCTCCAGTACGTCTAGCAAGTGATCTCGGCCGGCGATGCCCAGGGCCAGGATGCAGCCGAAGACAAGAGTAGACCAGATCGCTCTGGGGACCTTTTCACATGGCTTGGCGAAGAGCTGAGCTGAGAGTGCACTGGAGTAGATGGCGATGCAGTTGACGCCAACTGTATAAGAGATATGTCAGTTTGAAATCTTTCTTTGGATATATAGTATAGCTGAGTGTGGGTTATACTAGCGTTCACGTACTTCCGGAAAGGACTAGAAGAACCAGTAGAAATTTGGCGAATCCGCTGGGATAGATGATTTCTTGTAAGATTTCCCCGATTCCATTGCCGTAGGCGGCAGCCCATTCTGGATTCGTATCTAAGGCCGAGCTGATACAGGCTCCAAGTAGCATTCCAATGCAGGTTGGGATCGTGATTCCGAGGGTGGTGTAGAGGAATACTTTGACCTTGGAGATATTCACCGGGTAGTGCACGTAGAAGTCTGAGACGATCGAGCTCCAAGATGCACTGGAGCCATACACAACGCTGATTAGACTCAGAACATTCCCAGATCTTGTGATGCCCGACACCGTTGCAGGTGCAGCAAGATTTGCCCGATGCGCTGACTCGCCATAGATAATCATGAAAATGACGAAGAACACCATCCATGCATACTGCTCGTACATGAGAACCCCCTTCAGTCCGATAAAACTGAAAAGAAAACTTATGCATGCGACAATCACTACTCCCACAGCGATTGAGACATGACCGTCTGAAACAGCACTCAATGCGAGACCACCAGTAATGCAATTAACGGATGCCCATCCCAGCTGTTCAATGACGTTTAAAAGAGCAATGATAGACGATGGGTAAAATCCTAACGAGTACCTCGAAATGGCGACCTGACGGAGACCGGTCTCAGGACCCATCGTCGCACACCAACCCTATAGATAAATGTGAGCTTTCAGATACCAGAAACATCAGAATCCACGGTAAGCCAAAGACAGTAGGAAAAGGTATCCGAACCGTCACAGCGGCACCCAGTAACGTTGAACATATTATGATAGGAATAGTTTGCCCCAAAGATAGGCCGAATTGCTTTCCCAAGAATCCGGTACTGAAGCAGCTGATGTTCATTGTCGCAGACGCCCACATAAAAGCCATTGCTAGCGAATTGGGAGGATTGCGGCCTTCGGGGAGCACCCTGTCGAGACTGTGGGACTCAATACCCAACTTCTTATCCAAATATTCTTCATAGTATCTGATTCGGGCCAAGAGTCCTCGTGGCTTCGTAGGGGTCTCTTCCTCGAATGGCACGGAAGAAAGCCCAGCCTGGGCTTCTTTCCCAGCTTCAAGGGTGTAAGTATCCATCATGCGAATGGTTATGCACTGACAAGCATAATGTGCGAAAAGTCTTAGGCAAAAGCACTTGACTTAACGGGCCGAACCATGTATTTATGAGACCGAGTTCTTACTAGTATGGTGCTTAGCTCGAGCCCAAGTAGCCCT